TAGGAGTTGTACGCAAGTGCTGTAAATTAATGTGATAGTTTTAATCTCTGATCAACGAACAATTATTTATTATATTATTATTACATAAAAAAAATATATATTATTACCAAATTTTAATAGTAATATTATTCCTATTATTATGTTGTAATTAAATAGCATTCAAAACTTTTTGTTTAACTTAATATTTAATTAAATATCATTACTCTATCGTTTTCTTAAATATTAAACGCAACTTCCTAACATTTTATAATATAAGATTAATAAATCGATTTTAAATCTACATATTATTGGTTTTTGAATAGTAATTTTGTGACATTGTTTAATTATATTAGTACATTAAAATATAAAAAAGATTTTTTTTAAACTTATGTTATATTATATGTACGAATGTATTAAAATAAATAAATTTGTTTATACATTATTCAATGATATAATTTGTCCAAGAGAAATAAAACAATATAGCATTTAAGACCATTGCATCTATTATTTTGACAGTGTTTAAATTTTTTTATAGGTCGTGAAAACTAAGTTTCTATATCACAAAAACTAGGTCATTAGCTATAAATTGTTTTTTTTTCTAATAGGGTTATTTACATTCTGGCCTTATATGTCACAACGAGTAATCTATATTATTTAATAACTTTAAGATAAAAATATAGATCCCTACATAATTTTTTCAACTATACGAACTGTTTTTGTGTAATATAATTGTAATATTAATAATATAATAAAAACATTTTTATTTATAAAGCATTTGGTGATAATAAATTAAATATTTTAATTTACTTGAAAATTTGATTTTGACATTTAAAGTTTTTATTCAGTTATTTATTTGATTTATTCTTTATATTGGAACTGTTTAAATTTATGTTTATATTAAAAATAAAAATATTTAATTAATTTTTAATAACTTTTACTCAAATATTATTGTATGAAAAGTTAGAAAATGTTACTTAATATAAACATAACTGAGTTCATAAATGAAATTTTTATTAATGTAATGTTACAAATCACAAACGATTTTTTCTAAACTGAACTTAATGGTTTGACCAGTTAGAAAAGACTGTGAATATTTCTATTTTATATTTAGGTATTTTTTTGACCCTTTTGTGGTTTCATCACCTCTCGTTTGAACTAAGGGGATGAAATTTTCATATTTATGACCAAAAATATTTATACTGCAATGATAGTATAAATTATTTCTTAAATTCCGATTGGAATGAGTTGGTTTTATAAAGACATACGTTTATCACGTGATGTTATTTTTAGGAAAAACGAGTCCTATGAAATATTTATTTTATTTTATATTGTTTAATTTGACTAAGATGGTATTACAGTCTATAAGAAGTTAATTTTTTAATTTGCCAGTCTTTGAGAATATCTAAGAAAAAATTTAAGAGATTATTGAATTTTCAATAAAAGTGTTTTAGAACAAAGTTTAAAATGAATTTAAATATTGTATAGCAATTTGAAAGTCTTAATAAATATTGTTGAATTATTAAAAAATAACTAAAATAGTTGTTGTTTATTAAAATATAAAATTTTTATGAAATTTGAACTTCAATTATACATAAATAAATGTGTTTTACATTTTTGGTTTTCAGTAATAACTATTTATGAGAAACTATTATTAAATGATACTAAATATTGAACAGTTTCTTAATAATTTCGATAAATTTTTTCCAAGTTTATGAATTTCAAAAGCGTATTAAAGAAATTTAAGTCTATGTATTTTTAATATTCATTGATGAAGAAATTATGTGGTATCATGTATTCAATTTAAGATTTGGACCAAAGAAATAATGTCTTTATATATATAGCTAAATAAAGCTCAAAAAGAGGTGATGTATTATATAATACTTGGAAAGTGTTTTTATAAATATTTGATCAAAATTTTTATATATTTGCGGTCCTATAGGCTATGGTTATTCATTTTTTAGTTACACCAAAAAAAAAACAAAATAGGTTTTGTCAAATTCTAGTTTCGCGCGATAAATTTCGTTTTTCTTTAGTTTTTTTTTCTGGTTATTTCGAAAAGTTCTAAACATTTTTACTTTGTATCCTCTTAAGTTCCAACTAGTTTCTATTATTAATTGTATCTTCAGATACAAAATTTAAAAAGACACGTCTTTGTAAAATCAATATATTCATTGCTCTAAAACAAAATGAAGTAATTTAACGAAAAATTAAAATGTTGATTCGCAAAAAAACGTTTTTAAGGTAGGTATACATTTTATTTAGTACGAATGAATTAAATTTTAAAATAGTTAACTATATTTATGTCACTTTACTTTAAAAAAAAAAAAAAAACCAAATACGATAAGTATACCTATATATTTATTGTTAACCTACGGTTATCAGCATCTCTTACCTATGGCATAAAAATGAATAAAAATATACAGAATTTCTAATATTTATTTATTATTATTATAATTATAATTAATATTATTATTATTATTATTATTATTTTATTTCTCTGCTTATTACTTTAAATCTATAGTCAACTTGACAACTCTGCAAATGCTGGAGCAAAAATTAAAATGTATAACCGCAGGCAATATACCGTATAATTTAAATACACTAGTGAAGTTTTACTTTTATCATTATATCATTATAGAGTAGTAAATATCTGTATAATATGATATTCATTTATTTTTGAAGTACGATTTTCTCTTGGTGAAACAACAATAAATTACAAAAACAACCATAAGGGCTTATTTAAATTCTTGATGAATGTCATAATGACTCAAATATAATAACAAATGAACATACACGTAGTTGGTGACTTCGGAGTTCGAGAAAATACTATCATATATTTATATTTATATATATATATATATATATATATATAATATGAATATTTTACCGTAATTATATGATAATATATATATACACAAATAAGCTGATGTAAGAAATTGTCGAATTACAATTTTCAGTCTGCTAACCAAATTTTAGGGCACATTTTTCGAATATTAATTTTTACTTTCAGTACGTTTTAATTTATTATGTCTGTTTATTAACTTTTCCGCATAATTCATCTCGTTATTAGTAAGTTCACATGAGCTTTTCATATGCGCTATAATATCATGTGTAAGTATGTATGTACGTGCTTTTAAAGATCGAGCTTCAGTACTCTTTAGATAATAATAAAGGTATATTAAAATTGAAATTTATATAACAAACAGTTTTTACATTTGAGAATTTAACTTTGTGTGGATAATATAGTCACGCGTACTAATACTATAGAAGATTGATACATAAATTTAAAGGATTATAATATGATTATGTTGAAATATTATTTGTACTTATCATGTGAATATTTCTTTGTGAAGTATTAATAATAAATTTTAATGTTAGTTGAATTTATTTAAAACTTTTAAAAGATAATATTTTTAAAATAATGAATAGTTAAAATAATTTTAAAATAATATTTTGAATTTTTGGTGGTAAACTATTTATTGCTTTACGTTGTTTCTTTTTCTAATTTCGATCTGAGTGCTTTAATTTAGAAATTCGTACAGTAAATATGTATTGTCAACCAGTCATTTTTGTCAAAACTTGTAATATTTAATTTATTAATCGATTAAATTATGTGTTTAGTTTATACATTTATCCAAATAAATTTTCTTTGAAACAGTTTACTTATATGTTATCATCTAATATTTTTATATTTTAAATGTATTTAAGTTTCATTTCTTAGTGAACAGTTATTTTTTATTGTTAATTGATTTTTTTTCGCATTATTTTGAAAAGTATGGATAAAAAATAAAATGCTAGATTTTTGGTTTCATAAACGCTGTTGTTTCAATAGATCAATTATTTAAATTTTTTATTTATTAATTATATATGTATAAAAAAAATAATATGATGGATAAATAAAGACATAGGTGATGTTTTACGGAATAATTTTAATACTAATATTGTATTCTTAGTGTGGTTTATTGTGGAAGTAGTTGTCAAGAAACAGATTAAAGTTTCTATCGATCCATATATGTATACATAATGATGTATTATTTTCGTTAATAATTTCATTTTAATAATAATAGTTACAATTATGTGTTGTGTATTCTCCCACAACATGTGTTCTCTATTACTTAAACGATATCTATAGTTGTAAGTGCTCAAGTTATTGTATATTATTAATATTTTTTAGTTAACTTATTGAATGTCACACAAAACTGATATAATTCTGTCAATGCTCGTAAATTATCCATGTATTAATATATGGGACTTAATCGATTTGACGTGTGACGTATTACTTTTCATCTATATATTAAATGGGTTGTCACTCTCACCGGGTTGTAACAGAAGGAGGGGAGTTACTCATCTAAATCAAGTTGAGAAATGACCAGTATAGACCTTGCTATTGAAAAAAATATTAGATTCAAAATTTTCAGGAAATGGTAAGTTGTAATACTTTTGAGATTTAATATATATTCTTGTTAAATTTAAATTAATTAAAAAAGAAATATTCTGATATTGCTCGTTTCTAAGACTGTCAACATTAGAAAAGTATATTTCCAAAAATGATATTTTTCCCCAAGCTAGTTTAGATCATTGATGTCCATAGATTTAACAATATATAAAACTAAAATAACTTTTTATAATATTATACGGTCGGTTTTTTATTTTATGGAAGTTAGTAATGTATACTTTTGTAGGAGAAGTGCCTCGACAAAGTGTATGTTACTTACATCAGTTACATCCAATACGAAAACGTAAAAGTTAATATGTTTACATTTTATATAAATGTAATAATTTTAATGAATCTACATTGCATTTAAAGCTATTAAAACGTTCAAAATTAATTTTCTTCTCCTACCACACCAGTGAAAATATTTAATATGTAATATTCAATCGTTCTTTACATGCATTTTAAGTTATTTTTAATTCGTTTGTTAAATAAATAATTCTCATAGTAGTGCGCATAAATATTATTTGTTGGAAAAATTGGGGGTTAAGGTAGAAAACGTCTAGTTCTATTGACATTTGAAAATTACCATTGACTACGTGTACGTTGATGGTTGCTGATTGTCCAAACGTGGGCATACACGTGTAGTTACCGGAGTCTGTGAGCTTGGCTCGAGCTATGTGCAGCGTACTTTTTAGTCCGTCCACCCATTCGGTGTGAACACTGACCCGTGGCTGCCGGACCGACTGTAGGCTCGTCTGGTCCGTATACACGGGTACGTTGCCTAGGTACCAGAATATGGTTCCCAGGTCGTGTGGGCCCTGGCTCAGCTCACACCGCATGCTCACCTCGCTGTCCTCCTTGACGTACAGCTCCTGCTGCCCACAAATCCTGGCCCTCATCTCTGTGAATCAAAATGTGCGTGCGATAAATGACATGGTCAATGATTAAATGGGTATTAAGACGCGCGTGATCGTTGAAAAAATATATTTTAGTGCATTGTCATTTAAATACAATTTTTAAATTGAGTTACAATATTTTTATAACAGAAACTACGGCTAATTACTCCAAACTTGGTTATTAAAAATATCATTCAGTGGTAACATTATGCAAACATACTGAAAGTGGTTATTTTGCGGATATGACTTTAAGCACCGAGTGAGGAAATATCTTATTTTGGTGAGGTATGATGCATCGATGAGTTTTGGTTTGTGCGCAACCATATTTTACCGGAAAACGGAATATGTATGCAGTATATACTTAACATTTATTACATATTATATTAATAGAAGTATGACTATTAATTATTACACATTCATAATATTATATTTGTTTAGTTAAAATAAGATGATACAACATTTTTAATTTATAAATACTTTTACAGGAATAACTTGAATAAATAATTAATTTTTTTCTATACATACTTTAAAAATAACTTATTGATTTATAATATCTACGTTGTTAAGTTTTTAGTAATAAAATTTTCCCTATTTTACCTAATTCTAGCTAGTGTTGACTAATAAACTTTATGTACAAATAATAACATCATACGTGGTTTTTAAAATCCATATAGTACTAGTTAATACTAATTAATATTTTTAGATTCATGTTTTTACTATTTTAAGTTATTAGGTAAAGTTTTCACGGTTTAGTTTATTTTAAAACAATTGTTTTTTTTTTCATTCTATATTTTTAGTTAAAAATAATGTACTATTAGGATTTAAACGATTTCGAATTTTAAATTGGTTTTTATTCTTAATAAATATAATACGATTTTTTCAGAAAATTTACTATAAAATAAATTTATAAAATCGACAACTACTTATTGTTTCTATAAAAAATAAAATATTTAATCATTGAAAATTATGAAAAATTTCGGTTTTAAGTTTTTGATTAGACTTTTGATTATTGTTTGATGAAAAAATAAACAAGACTACATAATATATAGTTCATGTGAAGATAAGGATTAATTTTTTTTTTTTTTGATTTCCATAACTCTATTGCCTAAATATAAGTCATATATTGCATTAATAAAATATTCATAATTTTCAATTCGTAAAAAAGATCTTAGTTGATGAATTTATGACTAATGAAGAAGACAATAATAATATAATAAATAAATATTTATATATTATATACACCACACAAGGTGATTTACCAAGAATGCTTATCCACTGTTTTTCTTCAATAGTGTAAATATTTAAAACCTGAATTTAAATATTTTTAATTATAAATAAAGATCATATTTTCGAATTTTGAACTTCTTTGTGCTACTTATGGAATGTGACGATTATAAATTTCAAACTCAAATGAAAATCTGGTGATAATTGGTTTGAAAAATTTGGAGGCTATACTCGTATGGTGATTTGAACATTTTAGTGATTAATATTAATCCATCATTATTAAAACATTTTAAAAATCGTCAATGTATCATAAATATTAGATCCTATGTTAAATCTATTTTGTATCTTTATAAAACTATTTCTAAGGACTATTATTTGTAGTATAAACATTATAAATATTAAAAAACTACTTGTTAGAATTTTGATTGAGGTACATTAAAATTTTCAAAAAAATAATTTACAAATAATTTAAAGTAAATAGTACAAAAAATTTCAAGAATTTAAAAATATAGTTTTTGAGTGTATTTTTATACAATTCCAAAGTGCAGGTTATAAATAATTGCATTATTAAAAAAACTAAGTTTATTACATTATTATTGACTTCTGTATCGATCGAAAACGCATCAATTGCGGTCTCTGCAGTTAAGAAATATGAATTTGAATAAGTTAATTAGCAAAAAAAAAAAAAAAAAAGGCAGGTGAATATGATTAATAAGTTATCATGTATATAATTTATCGACAGTTACTTTTACGAGTATGATTCTTAATGATTTATATTTATTTGCAATACGTTATAAATTTACGGTAAACTAAGCGAAGTTAAGACATAACTTAAACGATTCTAAAGTTATAATCGATACTTTTATTGATAAAAATCTTTACCAATAAGTTTTTTTGATAATATTCTAAGTACATATTATTTTTAATTCAACGTTTTATGAAAATTAAAAATTCAAATCGAACGAAAATTGAAAAATATATTTATAGGAAAACACGTCGATATTGTACATTTTGTGTAAAAGCGTGTAAGAATACCGAGTGATTGTGGCGTTGTGTTTTTGATCAACTATTGAAATTTTTTATAACTATAAGTATTGATTTCTTGAAAAAAGTATTATATATAGTATTATTTAAAATCATATACGCATAACATATTACATTATGTTAGGTTAACGTTAGCCTAACACCGTATAATGTCTATGTTGTTTATATCTCTCTGGGGACTTAATAATAATACTCTAATGTTCCCGAGACCAAACATATATTATTTTTCAAAACTAAATTGGCTAAGGAAAATATTTTTAAATACTTCACTGCGTTTATTGATGCCAATATAACCGTGCTCATATGCAGTAATAACAATACGAACAGATTATTTTCGGTATCTACGTACACAAAGTACTAAAATATGTTTTTTTAATAATCTTGCAAATTTATTTCTGTTGTTTTTTACTTTGTCAGGCTGCTAAATATAATTGAACAATTTATATTAATAAGCCATTGACAACCTTATTAGGCATGAAATACAAAACATTTTACTAAAAACATAATATTATAGAAAAAGTACTGTATGTCGCACTTGAGGGAAATCTCATCTCAAACGAGCTCATGCATAACTAGCAACTACTGAAGTGTCTAAATCCTTGACCCATCCCCACGTAAAATCAAAGTAGAGTACCAATATAAGTGGCTAATAATTAAAAATAAAATAATTATACTATTAAATTTCTGATTATACTTTATTAATTAACTATTTCTTACTATTTTTACCGTGATACAAAATGTTATATCCCAATAGGCTATCTATTTCAGTATTTATATTGTAGTTATCAACTTAATGCCATTAGAATAAATTTTTATTGACTATCGTATTTATAAATATTATTTTAAATTACTTTTCGATGTTACTTTGTCGATTTGAAATAAGTTTAAAATTCTATAACCATAATATTCATAAAAAAAAATGAACTTAAAGGTTACTCAAATGGCTTCTTAAAAAATTCTTTCATATTACTATCACACTTAATATTTTTAATTTAATTGTATAGATAATGTATTTAAAATAAAAAATAACCTTTTGAAATTAGTCAATAATATGCAGATGCTAATTCATATACACATACATATAAATATATATATTATATTAACAAGTATATGTGTATAGTTAACAGTTGGAATAATTTACTTGGTGCTGCAAGTACATTAAACTGATATATTTATTAAATTACTTATTGATGAAAAGATGAAAAAATAATTTTACTCTTATACCGTTATTATCATTATAATAATATTAAAAAAAAAAAAATAACAAAACATCCGCTTCCATCATCACTGTTAAATTATTTCGTTTTACACAAAATGTAAATTGTTGAAAATAATGTTTTATATCTAACCAGCCGCGTTATTTATACATGCACGCTCTGTATTTTTTATTAAATTTTTTTCGAACGTAGAACACATTTCATTTTTATGCGTGTCAGTGGTATGTACGAGATTTTTTTAGATTATGCGTTTAGGTAGGTATTATTTGAGTACAAACAAACGCATTTGGACGTATATACCAGATGTTCCTTTTATACTATAATTGATTTTTATATATTATGTAATATTTTAATTGGCGCCAAACGGAGAATACTGAATTATATAGATTTATGAACTGACTTCGAGATGTATAATATATATTACTCGTATGTGACTATGATTTGATTGTGAAAACGTATACAAATATAGACTATACTTATATGATCAATTTGAACTGTTAGAATTTGAAAATGTGTAGATTTTAACGGTCTTAAATCTTGATAGTTTAAAAAATATCGGCTGGTAGTATATAAAACAATAACTGATTAAATGTATTAGTTCATATTTTCAGAATTTGAAAATATCTATTTTTTCCTAAAATGGTTAAAGATAAAACATTGCACCATGTACATATAATTGAAACATAATATAGATGAAATATAAATGAAATCAAGATAGTTAATAGTTTCTTATTTTTAAATTTATATTAATCTATAATGTACACATTTATAATTGAAATTTTATTTTAATTAGCTGGTTATTATTTTATACAATGGTTAGTAAAATATTACAAGTGTAAGTTCTATTTGGAATGCAAAGAATCGTTAAAAATAATATTAATTAAAAAACATCAATTTTATGTATGTGTAAATGGAAATTAATTCTATAATATATTAACGATTCGGGCAACTATTTTTTAATTAATTTAAGTAAATAAGTAGGAAGTAATTGTAGTATGAAATATAATTGTTATACATTACAATTAAGACAAGGATAATATAGAATTTAATACTTTAATGTTTGAGTTAAGTACTTAATTAAATACCATTTAATACGTGTTAAAATCATGTACAAATAATGATTAATAGAATATTGTAATAAATATCTGCAAAACTACTGAAAACTATAAGCAAAAAAAAAAAAAATGAAATAAGATCGCTTAATAATAATATATCGAACTTTTTCTTGAGTTATTATTTTTTATGATAACTATTGACGAAAAAATCTTTTTTATGATATTTTTTTTACACTAAAGAAAAAAAAAATATTGTTATAAGTTATGGAATATAATAATTATTATACTTTATTATATGTCTATAGAATATAACGATGCCGATAAAATTAAATATGATTAAATATTATTTTTAATATTATACATAATAATGCGATGAATGGATTTCAGTGCTTTCGCATCATATTGATGAGTATAAGTGAAATATTCTATTATAGTCGAGCCATTGACTTGGACGCGGCAAAACGT